TTGCTGTTCTATTTCACAGGACAAGAAACGGAGGGCCAGGCTGGCAGTTTCACAAAATAGCACAGTTCCATTGATCATCTGGAAACAAGGTTCCACAGCTCTCAGGATGCATTATGCGTCTTAGCAGCACTGCTCAAATGAAACATTATCCTGACTGCAGTAAGGAAATGATTGGTTAGATGCTTCTAGGCTCCAAATAAAGATTTGATCTTGCTGCATGCTCTTTAATCCTTGGAACAAATGAATCACAGAACAGCTGTGTTTTGGGTGGAAAGGGAGTCTCTAACACAGGGGCACTGTTTTTGGATTTTACTGTCCTGACACTAGCAGAAGATAGTCCAGGTAAAAAATATCATTCTGCCCTTTAGAGGGTATAACTGATGCTCAGCAGATCATTAGTGAGATAGATGTACCAATATATCTGCTGCTGTGAAGGTCCCAAATGCACATAGCTCTCAAAAACGTTATGGATTTGGGACACTACAAAGTTTTTGTCCCCTTTTTTTTTTTCAAGAGCAATAAGAACTAATTTTGAACATGGTAAGCTTTAGGTGAGTATGTTGCTCTCTGAGCAACAGAGCTTCAGAGCTTGTTTTTCTCTGAAGCTTCTCATCTAGGTTGATTTGAATTTGTAAATAAAGAACTGGCTCTATTGCCATATTCCAGCTGTATTAAAGTATCTTGGGGACGTGTGAGCCACTGAATGTCAATAATTACAATCACAGATTAAATTTTACAGAAAAGCAATTTGTTTTATGTAGCAAAATTGTTTTCAAGAGTTTTGTGTAGGGTTCTTCTAAAATTTGGATCCTTACCCAGATCAATGATTCTGATGTTTGCTTATCCATATTTCTTGCTTCACGTATCTCTGACAGAAATGCAGGGCACTTCTTCAATAAATTAACCTTTCTGAATAGCAAGAATAATCTGGTGGAAGCCTCTGAGGGAAGCAGTGCAGGAGAACGAATTACTGCAAGACACAGAGGGAGCTGTAAATGTAATTGTGATGGGTGTGGGGGCAGTCTGCATTTCTAACATAGTCACCTTGCTGCACAACTCTCTCAGTATGGGTTAGCTTGCATCACCTAGCAGACATCAGATTCAAAAATGGACTGAAAAACTGCAGACCTTCCAGACAGCATGATCCCAGTGTTTTTCCTGTGTCTGCTTTTTCTTCTGATATATACTTAGAAATACATATCGGACCTATTAGAGTTATTAAAGCAATAATTAATTTACACATTAGATCAGAAAAAATGGGAATGATGTTGAATATTGAAAAGGAAGGCTGCTGAGATGCTAGACTAAATTTTGTTTGTCAATATGTCATGTACTGAAATCCTGTTTACACTGTCACGTCACTCACTAAATGGTATAATTTTATATTAGTTAAAGAGGATCCTGCTCTGTCCATTTGTCCTTCCAAAAGATGCCTTGGCAGACTGTGGCAGCAAGATTCTTAAACCTTAGGACACAGCGGAAATGAGTGACATTGCCATTTTAACACAGATAGAAGATTTTCTGCTCTCCCTGGGCAGAAATGTTTCTGCTTCTGTATTTTTCAGCTTGCCTATTGTCACTTTTCAGGTGACACTCTTCCTAGAGGTACAATGGTATGACGTTTGGATACCTGTGAAATGTTTCAGCATCTTTCAGCATGAAAGGCACGGTGAACAAAATAAGCATGTGCAGGGGCACACACGTGCACGGTCTATTTTGGGAATATTCTGCCATGTATTCCCAAACCCCACCATATATCTTGTGATCATTCGCAAAGCCTTTTTCTCATTTGTCAACTGATTTTAGTCGGGTTGCAGCCCTATTAACTTGAAAGAGACTGTAGCTATACTTTGCTCTCATCTTTGCAACTGTTGGTCTATAATTAATGCAGGGAATAGCAGAGCAGGCACTCAGCACAACTAATATTTCCATCTCGTTAGGGCCTGGCTTCATTTTCTCTTCACTGGGGAACGCTCTGTGTTTCGCTAGGTCAGCGAAGCGTTGCGGCGTGTTCATGAATCGTGCCCTGAGCAGGAGGCGCAGGGAGACGCCCGCACGCCCCGTTTGCCTTGGCCTCTTGCGTCTCCCCTGCTCGGAGCGGCCTGCGCCGCGGCCACCACTCGCTGCCCCCGGCTCCATTTTGTGCATGCAGAGACAAGGGGAGCCTTGGGCAGCGGAACCGAGGAGAACCACACTGAGATGGGAGGCGGTTTCGAGCCAAGGAGAAGAGCAGCAGAGAATGACAGGGCTGATAACCCAGCGAGGAAGGAGACGCTTCTCATCCGCACGGAGCGGGGAGCCCTGGCGCTCCTTTCAGCAGAGGGCTGCTGTCCGCGCTGGCACGGGGCCAGTCATAGAATCACAGAATGCTCAAGGTTGGAAGGGACCTCTAGAGATCATCTAGTCCAACCCCCTGCACACGCAGGGTCACCTAGAGCACGTGGCACAGGGCTGCGTCCAAGTGGGTTTGGAAGATCTCCAGAGAAGGAGACTCCACAACCTCTCTGGGCAGCCTGTTCCAGTGCTCTGTCACCCTGTCTTCTCTTACCCTTATTTCCATCCTTGAGAGTAAGCTAGGGCTTCGTTGGGAACAAATATTGGGAAGGATTGCCTTGCCAATGCCTTCTTGCAGACAAACAGTGAATGTTAATCTCCAGAATTACTCTCCATCTTTTCTCAGTGGCAAATCCCACACTACTTTTTTTTTAAGAGCAGATGTTTTTTAGATATTTTAATTGGAAACAGATACCAAAAATTATTGTTACTTAAATCAATTAGTAGAAAACGAAACACTTATCCTGACAGAGAAACTCACTATAAAAAAGAAATATAGTAATTCAGGAATCCAAACTATTCTAGTGGAGGTATGCATTTATGTACAGCAGCAGATCTGACACATTTTTTTAATGCCTTTAAGATACAAGTGAAAAAAAAAAAGCTCAAGACCTAGATTTCCTACTCTAGTAAAAATTAAACTGCAGCCTGCAGATGTTTTCTGTGGAATGAATAAAAGGGTAATATGGCCTTTTGGCTTCTTATTTAGGATATAAATTCATCTTACACAGAAACAGATCCTTGCAATTTTTCTGAAAAATAAATGTAGAAACAAATGCATGTGCTTAGAGCCCCTGTCAAAATAAATGCACCACCTACATGGATATGATCAAAATTTAGCTTATAAGTGAAGTCAGCTGAGGGTTTTGTCACAAATCCTTCCTAAGCGTGAGCAGAGGGTAGCGCTGCTCCAAGAGGGCAAACCGTGAGCTGGATTGTACCCGGAGTCCCCATCTCCTGTTGGCTTTCTCCCCTTCTTCCAGGAAGTTAGAGTGTCCCCGTTTTCCCAGGCAAGATGCAAAGATTACTTGGTGTTTAGGGGGATGGCAAAGATAGTAGTATCCCTGATTCTTTTTTCTTTTCTTTTTTAAAATATCTTCTGTTCTATATCCTGTCAATATCTACCTGTATCCTGCACTATGTATCTACCAGACCTGCCAATCTCTCTACTTCTGTCAGTAGAACTAATGCTTTTAGCAGTAAGTTACATGTCTCTCTACTATGAGCAGCTATTTAGTCATTTCCAGACATCCAATGTCCCAGGGTATCAGAAATCTTGGACAAATAGTTGCTGCTCATGAGCCCATCCACGGCATGTGAAAGTCTAAAAAACACATTATTTTTCATTCGCTTAGGTTACATTCATGGAGTGTTTCCTATTCAGTTATGTGGGAGGGTTTGTTCAACCTCTTTCGACCAAGCTGGCTGATTTTAGATGGCTTGAATCAACCTGTCTACTCAGTGAAGATATTCCTGAGAATATATTGCCGGTTGTCAAAATGATAACTTGCTGGAGGTGTAATTTTTAGAGCAATACAGGTTTCTGCTTGTGCAGCTCACCGGGCAGTAATCTACACAAACTTTTTATGAGAAGGCTGGAATGCAGGAAATCAGTGACTTTCACAATCTGGCGTCGCTTGGCAAAAAGTTGCCTTTGAAACCTGATGTTCACATTTCCAAATCAGTTTGTTTCTAGCCCGCATGCCATAAAATCCTCCTGTTATTGGGAGGGAAAAAGAGACAAGGAAGAGAGGAAAGCAGAGCTGGAGGAATGAAAGTGAGTTACGCTGTGCGCTGTGACTGAGTATAAATCCTGCCGGCAGGAATTATTGGAATGGAGAATAAAATACCCGGGTGCAGAAACGTGGTCTCTGCTGTAATGCAGTGTGTAAGACGCAGCTAACTTGGCCGGGAGAGGAGCGGCGAGAAGGGCTGCTGCTGCCAGAGGAACCCGGGGTCGGGCTGCAGGTTCGCTTGGTATCCCAGGGAAGGGAGGAGGAGGATGTTCGGCGCTGTTCTCCGGTGCCCTTTGCTTCCTGATGAGCTCCGGGAGGAGCCTGCCCTGCCTCTTCACTCAGACATGGACTCGCTAGAAGCAGATAGCGGCGAAGGGGGGATAAACATGTGGTCCCGTGAATCCCCCCATTTCTCTGCCCTTTCTTTCACTCCAGCCCTTCATAAGAAAAGTAAACTCAGCTTTTATTAGCTCTCCCTTTTCAAAAAAATACTTATAAAGGAGACCTGCAAAAACACATACAGCAAATAATGGAATCGGACCTAGCTTCTTTGCCTTCGATTCTTGTAAGGATGTGGTAGAAATCGATGTGAACACTGTGGGAGAGCCTCATGAAAAGTCGTAGAATGCCAGGATTATTTTGACTGTGCATGAATTAAAGAAACAACAGTAGCTTTTCTTTATTATTAAAGCAGAGTATGTTTGTTTGATGCAAAGGTGATCCAGCAGTATGTTTTATTTTGAGATCCTGCCAGCATTTGCCTCTTTATGCTCAACGAGACAGATGATATTGAAAACAATTCTTAGCGAGCGAGCATACAAGGTTGTTGTACGACTGCTGATGCACAACCATCCATTTCACTGTCAGTTCTGACACCCGCTCACGCGGGGCGTGGGTGTCGGGGCTGCATAATCACCACGCAGTTATTTATCAGTAAACACACCAGGCAAATCCGTCTGTCTCCGCTGGCAGCCAATCAGACCGGGGTGATTTACACGTTTTGGGAGACGCTGTTTAGAGCATAAAGAACAAACAGAAACTTTCAGGCCCAATGCCCTTCTCCGTACGCCAAGGCAACGAGAGGAAGCCTCGATGGCCGGGACATGGCTGGTGAGTTTTAGCTGCCAGGCAGACATTCAAAATGCCAAATGGTGCTGGGGTGGAAGTGAAGAACCCAAGGAACATTGCTATGTATTTCAAAGAAACCAACAGCAACTTTGGGCTCTATTTAGAAATAACACGTGTTTGATGGGCTAACATAGCTCTTAGTTATAATTACATCCTTCATTTGAGAATCTCAAGCTGCCAAAAACAAACAGAACTTTTCTTTCACAGCCAATGCCAATGAGATATTACGGAGGAGAGAAAAATGCACAAAAACAGTAGGCACAGTGCCAAAATATCCAGGGACAATTACTCAAAAAGCTGATTGAACTTACCCTATCTTTGCCTCTAGATGTTGTTCCTACCTAAAACTGAGTAGAGATGTGCCATGACAAATATATTATTTGTTTAGATTATTCTGTTATTTCAGTTATGAATTTTAGGGTGTCTTTCTATCATGTTTGTTAAGATGGAAGAAATACTTCTACCTGTAAACTACTGGATAAAGAGACAGCCAAAACTATTAGTATTTATTGGCCCAGCAGAAGGGCAAGCGTCTGTCCCAGGCTGCTACATATACCTGAGTTCCAAGATTAGATGAAATCTTAATGTGTGCATTACCTCCCAGTTGGGTGAATTTGCTTTATTAATGCAATTCATACCACTATTAGTGGATGCCAGAGGTAACTGTGTATAAACTGGGTACTGTAGTGTAGGAGCAGAGGCAAACCTGAAAAGCATGCTGATTTCAATCATTGACTGCAGGCTCAGGAAGAAAATACTTTAGTTTGGATCATGGTTTCTGAAAAGAATATTTCTCAGGTTTTCTGGTTCATTGGAAATTTCCAAAAACAGCAGGTATTTTCCAGATCTAATGATGAAGAGTATCAGACTGCTCTATATGATATACATGGCAGGAAACATCTTTAGACTTTCGTAATCCTAAGTTTACTCACTCAACCTTGATCGGTTTTGTTAGGGAGGCAATAAATCCTCCCAACATTTCCAAGAATGGAGACTGGATGTAAGTCCATAGAGAAGCTGATTCGCTGCCAGAGCTTCGGAAAAACTACACTAGAAGGGGAGAAACTATTCTAGAAAAGGGCAAGAACTCAAGGACACTGGAAGTTCATATTCAGAAAGCGAGGAGCAATTAAAATAATGATGAAGCCACTCACAGGGAGTTGTTTTTCTCAGAATCGTAACATGCCCCGTTCTGGCTAAGCCAGCTGTGCCTTGCTCAGCACGGGGTAACCTGGCAGCTGTCAGTGCTTTGGATATTACCGAGCTATGATTTGAGCCACAGGTTCACATTTGAGTTCCTCTGAAATGGAGATAAATTGTCCTGATGATTTGCAAATGGGAGCTCCTGCAGTCTTATCCAGTAATATTCAGCAAACTTTGTTTCTAGCTATAGTTTGCTATTTTCATATATGTATTTCTTTTCCTTGCACATTGTGCAAAGATATCATGACTCCATATAATTACCGTAGCCAGTAATAAATCATGAGCAAAATCACAATTCTTATGCAGTGCACAGATGTTTTACATGGGGCCTTAAAGGCAAACAGGAAAGACTTAAATCCTGAGAAAACCTTTTCTACCCACTGGTAATCTACTGTTCTTGTTCTCATTCTTTCCTTCCCATATTCTCCCCATCTCCGCTTCCAGGGAGGTTAGTGGAAGCACCGCATTGATTCTTTTCCCAGGGTGATTTCCAGACTCAAGCACACAGCCTGCAGGGGTGAGCTCAGCTTTACACAACCAGCTGCCAAGGCAGCCGCGGGATTATCACAATCCCACTTGTCATTGTAAATCATCACTATTTGATAAATGTATAAAAATATCTATATACTGCTAGCAATACTGCAAATGAGACACAATGAGCTATATGCCATGTTACCATTTTTTGAAATGTGAAATGGATGTTGTGGTACTTTTCCCATTTTATTTAAGGAAAATTAGTTGGGAACTGGAACTTCTTCATTCTAGCAAATTGTTTTCCACTTTTTCATTAATGTGTGAGTGTAATTGAGATAGGGACCCACAGGGACACTGTAGATGCATCTGCTGAGAGGGGAAAGAAACATCGCGCGTTGGTAGCCCTGCACCATTTAGGGGAAGGCTTTGCTAGAACTGCATCTTGATCAACTCTTATTTTCTCTGATCTGCCTTGAGATAGGCAGTGTGTTTAAAGCTGGAAACAGTGCTTTAGTAGTGTTTCCTAAACTCAAAAACAAGTTGCCAAACATAAGGGGCTTTTTTTTTTCCTGTTGTTGTTTCTTCTTTCTTCCCTCCAGCTTGTTCCTGCCAGAACAGACTATTCCATCGCGCGCTCCGCAGCCAGGCAGAGCTGTGCGGCGCGGTTCTCTCAGCTGAAGGAGGGCAGAGCTCTGGTATGAGCACGGAGAGGGCTTTTGTTGCTGGAAGGGATTTTTTACTAGCTTTTTTGCTCCGTGTGCGAAAGACATAAAATGCTCTGGAAATGTACAGCTTCTTCCTGCCAAGAACGGTTGTTTTCACAGCTCCCTTTTCGCCAATTTCAAACTGGTTAAGAAATAATGATAATATAAAAAAAAAAAAAAGTTTTCACATACATACCATAAACTCCCTGGGTGAGCAGTAGAGTTTGTAAAAGTGCCAAAATAGCCTGTTTCCCCATAAGAACAGAGGAATCGCATATGAGTACCAGTGCTAAGCTGAAGAGGGAGTTTTCGGAGACAAGAACAAAGTAGAGGCTGAAGCATTATTAGCCAACTGTATTAATTAAGCTGCAGTTGTGATGGTTTGACATTTTGAAGGATCTCAGTCAGCTGTTCTGCCTTTGGCTTTAAGTTTTTTCCCCAAACTCTTTCATGGAATAAATTAGATCGTCTCCAAATCCAGTGCATGTTACTCAATCTAAATTCATGAAGTATGTATAGAGGATTCCAGCAAAACATTCTACTCCCAACATTTACTTAACATAACAGTATTCTAATTAACATGTTGGTTTTATACCTAGAGTAGTGCCATACAAATAGAGAAGATTAGAGCATTAATCCAAACTAAATGTTCTGCTTAACATGCACAGAAGGGGGAAAAAACTGTTAATGAGCCAGAGATCAGAGGAGAGTGAAGGGAAGTCCTGTAACTTACTTCTCTGGCACCTTCTGCCCACGTAACCCTCAGGGCAGGAGCACACGTTGGTTCGAACACAGTGACCACCGTTCTTACAGGGAGGAACACAAACAGCTAAGGAAAGGAAAGAAAAATCGTGTGATGCACTGAAATCATGCAAGGTGTTAATGCTGCTTAAATACAGGCACCTTGTAGGTACCTGAGTATGGATGTCTGTGTTGGAGGATCGGCCTGCAGCCAGGGTAGAGGTGTTCCTCCAAAGGCTGCTTTGGAGCGGGTGCCTCACAGGAGGCTCCCGACTCTTCCCGTTTGCAGAAAAATGTGGGAGACTAGTCCTAATGCCTAGAGGTCTTTGTTAGGTACCTGGAGTTAAACCATGGACTATGTCAGAGATTCTCTTTGGTCTTTAACTTTGTAGATCTACTTCTGCTCTTAAAATACAGAATAATGTTTGATATTTGCACTCTTCTCTCTTTCCCAATGAAGCAGAGTTGAGGACTTGGATTTTCTTCACTGTGCTTCAGCTCTATTCCCATATCACAATAAATGGAGGTTTATTTTCAAATTTTGGTCTAACTCGGAGTATTTAAGGATGATAGCTCCAAATCACCTAGATGCTGAAGGCCACCTGCCATGACAGATGTCAAGACAGAGATCATATGGTTACAGAGTCTGTATTATTTTTTCTCTCTCCTTCACCCCCAACAACACAAAAATGAAGAATTTCTAGGAAGTTCGAGTTACAATTATATTTTTGTGTGTGAATTATTCACTTGCAAAAATTTGCATTAGTTGAATTCATCTAGGAATTCCAGGAAAAAAAAAAGCGAAAAACACCTTTAATATTAAAATAATTTAGCTTTGCTAATAACAGTGTAGTTATATGCTGATATTCAAATGAGGATATAAAAGCCATCCTCAAAAATGCAGAGCACATAGGAGAAGCACTGGGGGTTTTGAACCCTATATAAACCCTAAGCAATAGCTTCTCTCTTCTGTCTATTCTGTGTGGACTAATGAATAGTTAAAAGATTCATTAATTACAGATTGACGTCGGGAGTGCAAACGAACAGACCAAAAAGCCCAAGACACTATTAGCCTCAGTTAGAGCCCCCTTTGGGACATGGATTCCAAATCAGGTCCCTGATTAGGCCAAGCGATGTCTGGTCACCTGTGAGAAGGGGACTCTGAGGCAAAGTCCTCTGAAGTCTCCCACCCGCTGGCTCTCGGGTGGTCAAGAGTTGACACTGTGAAGCCCACTTGGAGCTAAGTGCCACTACACACTGGCACGGTGCACTATAAACTTAGTAAAATGAACAAAGAAATAGACCCATGCTGTAAATTTTAATTGTATAGTTGCTAATTAGTGATATCGCTTCAGATAGTTTTAAATTGTTTAGTTATCATCGATGCCATCATAAATAAGTGCTTACTCCTTCACAGTACCTTTAAGAACAATTTAATGCAGATTTATGATAGACTGTATCATCAAAGGAGCACACAGGGAGTCCTGACAAGGAAAATCTCTGGATATACTGCATGCCGTGGCAGCAATGATATAGGCTGCTGTTTATATTTTAAGCCTGAACTCTTTATCAACATGATAAATAGAACTTTCTTACCTCTCTGGCACTGTGGTCCATAAAAACCATAAGGACACATGCACGTATTTGGCCGTACACAGATTCCTCCATTTAAACACACAGGATTGCACACAGCTGTATGTAAATATAAGAAAAATCTATTAATCTCTTATCATTTTAACTTTTTTTAGAGTAGACACATCTTTGTTGCTGCCCCTGTCGTGAGAATAAATATTTTTGGTGATTTTTGGACAAATTTCATACTGTCTTTGCCAATCAGTTGTACAGTGGTGTGGCATTTATTTGCTGTTGCACAGTAGGAGCATGGCAGTGGGGTTTTAGCATAGCTTTGGGGGTGAAATAAAACCGAATTTAATAGTTATTTCTGATGTCTTCCTGTGGTTTGCGTAGTTCATCTTCTTTCACTTTAGTATCCCAGCCGAGGCAGTAGAATGTAGCCTTTTACCTATAGCTTGCTAACCTGGAGATGAGGTATTAACCGTTGTCAGCACTGGGCAGTGAGTGGCATTTCAGCGGTGCTGAATAGGTATGTGCAGCAAAACCCCCACTTGTTCTGCCTCCTTTAAGTGCCAGGTCCCATGACATCCTTCTGCCTCGTGCATCACTGGCAAAGCCCTCTGTGCCCATTTATTTAGTGGTTATTACTATTGATAATATAACAGGCATTAGGAATTAAAAACTGCTTCCCATATTCCTATGTGGCAAGTGCCTGACTAAGTGTTGAAAGAAATGTTTGATTTGGGAAATCAGCTAATCTACTTGGGCAGCCACTGTGTGAAAAATACGGTGTCCGATGCAGTTTTCTTTACAAAGACATTTTAAATCAGTCATTTCCCTTCTATTCTCTTTCTCTTTCAGTAGCTCATTGGATAAAGTAAAAAAAAATTAAGCTTAAAAAAGATAGGGCCACAGCAATTTTTCAGGTGAACAAAAAAGAGAAATAAAGCATCAATTTAGAAAGAAAAAAAAAAAGGAAATTGTTGTCTTGATGCCATGAATTTAAGACTAAATAACAAACAAAATTGACTTCATTCATTGCCAATAGTGACTTTGGATTAGTTGCCTCATTTTCATAGCTGGTTCACAGACGTTCACACTGTCAGTGTTTACAGTTCCATAGATGATGTCTGCCAAAAACTTATATTTTTGTTTTAATATATGCATAAACCAGAGATTTCCATGTTCTGGGAATGCTTTCCTTCAGGAAGAAAGGCAATCCCAACAGGTTTCTGAATTTCTGAATACAATCTGTAGTGCAACAAATCAGTGCCACAGAGTGAGTCTGATAGCCTTTCCCCACGGGTATAGTCAGAAAAACAGACTTCTGTCAGGAAAAAGAGGTGATGGGAACTGGAGTGCCAGAGTAGTGGCAACACAAACTGTTGAGCCTGGACCTTAAGTGGGTTAATCTATGTGTCCTTGATTGCCCTTTTATACGAGCACTTGCAAGATCAGCAATCCCAGGGGTAGGTGGCTGGGATAACATCTCTCACCTTCCAAGAAAGGTAACGTAGGCTGTTCTTTAAGACATTCAATAGTCACTAGGCAAAATGCCTTCATAGCCTTGGAGCTCTGTCTCTAGAGAAGGCAAGTAGTGCTCCTACTAGCACCTAGGGCCCGAGAGAAAGCTCTGAGCCAAATCTATTCGAAATAGGCTGCAAAACTATGCAAAACTGGCTAGAAATAGATAGCTAATTCCAGACCTCGCATTGTCATTTTGTGCTGACTGATGGAGGTGACTTTTACCTGAGTGCATGCCTTGCTGTGAATGCCTTTGCAGGTAGCTGCTAGGTATTAAATGCAGCCGGGAGAAATAGTGTGAACTCTGGGAGGCAGCAGTGGACTTTAAGTTCTTGTGAACCTATTTTTTTCTGTCTTTTGGAGTGGCAAAATTGAGGCAAGAACTCGACCAAAAGAAACCAATAGTGTGATACAGTTGCTGATAGCCTACCTTTTAAGGTACTTTTTTTTTTCTTCGATTATGCAGTATTAACCAGAACTCCTTATAAAGTTGCTAACCTGGCATTTCCCGTTTGCTTGCTTACAGTCTCTCCCTAACTTAAACAGCCCTTATTCTATTCCTGTCTTTGTAAACCTCATTTCTAAGTTGAGATCTGAATGTATCCCCACTGCGACCGCTGAATTACACCAGCCGTAAGGAGGCCGGACAACAGAAGGAATGTGGGGCTCGTGGCTTCCCAGCACGTACCTATTTCACAGGAAGGGCTGCTCCATCCATTTGTGCATTTGCACTCGTCCGGGGACACACAGATGCCGCCGTTGTGACAGTGCCTGTTGCAAACCACTAGAAAACAGGCAAAGGGTCAGGTTCAGAATCTCTCACCTGCAGCCACCGACACGAGTCCTAAAGCTGCTCTACGACAGCAGCAAAACCAGTGGCGTTACTCCGAGATGTAACCTGGGATGAATCTGTCCCTTCCTTTCTTTTTTAAATTCACTCTTTTCATCAAAACTCTTGCATCTAAACTACTTTGCTTTTTAAGTATTCTAGCTATCCTGGTTGATAGATAAAATTATATTCCTGTCAAGGGCAACCTGATATTTAAAACAGGAGAGAGCACTGCAATAAAGAAACTGTGTATGTTTTGCCATTCATTTGCCAATCTTGTACAGTGGTGTGGCATTTATTTGCTGTTGCACAGTAGGAGCATGGCAGTGGGGTTTTAGCATAGCTTTGGGGGTGAAATAAAACCGAATTTAATAGTTATTTCTGATGTCTTCCTGTGGTTTGCGTAGTTCATCTTCTTTCACTTTAGTATCCCAGCCGAGGCAGTAGAATGTAGCCTTTTACCTATAGCTTGCTAACCTGGAGATGAGGTATTAACCGTTGTCAGCACTGGGCAGTGAGTGGCATTTCAGCGGTGCTGAATGTGCAGCAAAACCCCACTTGTTCTGCCTCCTTTAAGTGCCAGGGCCCATGACATCCTTCTGCCTCGTGCATCACTGGCAAAGCCCTCTGTGCCCATTTATTTAGTGGTTATTACTATTGATAATATAACAGGCATTAGGAATTAAAAACTGCTTCCCATATTCCTATGTGGCAAGTGCCTGACTAAGTGTTGAAAGCAATGTTTGATTTGGGAAATCAGCTAATCTACTTGGGCAGCCACTGTGTGAAAAATACGGTGTCCGATGCAGTTTTCTTTACAAAGACATTTTAAATCAGTCATTTCCCTTCTATTCTCTTTCTCTTTCAGTAGCTCATTGGATAAAGTAAAAAAAAATTAAGCTTAAAAAAGATAGGGCCACAGCAATTTTTCAGGTGAACAAAAAAGAGAAATAAAGCATCAATATAGAAAGAAAAAAAAAAAAGGAAATTGTTGTCTTGATGCCATGAATTTAAGACTAAATAACAAACAAAATTGACTTCATTCATTGCCAATAGTGACTTTGGATTAGTTGCCTCATTTTCATAGCTGGTTCACAGACGTTCACACTGTCAGTGTTTACAGTTCCATAGATGATGTCTGCCAAAAACTTATATTTTTGTTTTAATATATGCATAAACCAGAGATTTCCATGTTCTGGGAATGCTTTCCTTCAGGAAGAAAGGCAATCCCAACAGGTTTCTGAATTTCTGAATACAATCTGTAGTGCAACAAATCAGTGCCACAGAGTGAGTCTGATAGCCTTTCCCCACGGGTATAGTCAGAAAAACAGACTTCTGTCAGGAAAAAGAGGTGATGGGAACTGGAGTGCCAGAGTAGTGGCAACACAAACTGTTGAGCCTGGACCTTAAGTGGGTTAATCTATGTGTCCTTGATTGCCCTTTTATACGAGCACTTGCAAGATCAGCAATCCCAGGGGTAGGTGGCTGGGATAACATCTCTCACCTTCCAAGAAAGGTAACGTAGGCTGTTCTTTAAGACATTCAATAGTCACTAGGCAAAATGCCTTCATAGCCTTGGAGCTCTGTCTCTAGAGAAGGCAAGTAGTGCTCCTACTAGCACCTAGGGCCCGAGAGAAAGCTCTGAGCCAAATCTATTCGAAATAGGCTGCAAAACTATGCAAAACTGGCTAGAAATAGATAGCTAATTCCAGACCTCGCATTGTCATTTTGTGCTGACTGATGAAGGTGACTTTTACCTGAGTGCATGTTTTGCTGTGAATGCCTTTGCACGTAGCTGGTAGGTATTAAATGCAGCCGGGAGAAATAGTGTGAACTCTGGGAGGCAGCAGTGGACTTTAAGTTCTTGTGAACCTATTTTTTTCTGTCTTTTGGAGTGACAAAATTGAGGCAAGAACTCGACCAAAAGAAACCAATAGTGTGATACAGTTGCTGATAGCCTACCTTTTAAGGTACTTTTTTTTTTCTTCGATTATGCAGTATTAACCAGAACTCCTTATAAAGTTGCTAACCTGGCATTTCCCGTTTGCTTTCTTACAGTTTCTCCCTAACTTAAACAGCCCTTATTCTATTCCTGTCTTTGTAAACCTCATTTCTAAGTTGAGATCTGAATGTATCCCCACTGCGACCGCTGAATTACACCAGCCGTAAGGAGGCCGGACAACAGAAGGAATGTGGGGCTCGTGGCTTCCCAGCACGTACCTATTTCACAGGAAGGGCTGCTCCATCCATTTGTGCATTTGCACTCGTCCGGGGACACACAGATGCCGCCGTTGTGACAGTGCCTGTTGCAAACCACTAGAAAACAGGCAAAGGGTCAGGTTCAGAATCTCTCACCTGCAGCCACCGACACGAGTCCTAAAGCTGCTCTACGACAGCAGCAAAACCAGTGGCGTTACTCCGAGATGTAACCTGGGATGAATCTGTCCCTTCCTTTCTTTTTTAAATTCACTCTTTTCATCAAAACTCTTGCATCTAAACTACTTTGCTTTTTAAGTATTCTAGCTATCCTGGTTGATAGATAAAATTATATTCCTGTCAAGGGCAACCTGATATTTAAAACAGGAGAGAGCACTGCAATAAAGAAACTGTGTATGTTTTGCCATTCAGCTAATACTGAAGGGCTGGAAGGGTGATGTTTTTCCAAGTGCGCTATATATTGAACCTCTTTTGTTGCCTGTATTGCACAGTAACATGACTCTAAATAGGTATGGTTGTCTTTTTGTGTTCTCAAAATTAGTGTTACTGTATTCACTCCCACAACCTTGAGTTTCATAAACGTTACTATAAATAATATGGAGGTTTTTGCTTGTTTGTTTTTCCAGAAGAAAATGTTGATATAGATGTGCATATTTTTACATAATACAGCTATGCTGCTGATAAAAATATGCTCAGAAATAGTTTAGCAAGGATATTACTTCAATATATTATACTTTGATTTCCTTGCTGTATTCAATCATAATTTTGAAGGGAAATACAGAAAAATAAATAGACTTCTTTGTGTCTTATCATTTTCTGCAAATTCAGACATGTAATGAAAAGAAAAACCTCAATGTATTCATACATACTTGTTTCACATTGAGGACCAACAAATCCATAAGCACAAGAACAAGTGTTTTGAGATACACAGGTTCCTCCGTGCTCGCAGGGCGGATCACAGAGCACTGCAAGAAGCACAAGCAAAATAAAACATGAGAAATATTGTGTTCAAATATTACATTCTTTGTGGTTATGAGTACAACACTTATTCCTACTACTTCCCACGTGCCATTTCACTAATCCTATAAGCAGTTCGGCTACTGAGGAAAAGACTAAAGGATCTAAGTAGGTTAATAATACAGCACAAACTAAGGAACTGGCATAAACTCTCTGTAAGGGAATGATTTTAACATAATCATGTTATTTAACTTCTGACTGGGTGCACTTTTAAGTACATATTTTGGAAGTCCAAGGATGCAGAAAGTACAAACATAGTCTGTAATACAAAATACCTTGGCCTTCCCTCTCTACAAATGTGCCTTGTGCATGTTCAGGAAGCCTTAAAAGGTGTCAGATGTTATTCTAAATGAGAGATGAAGTGTTTCCTCTGAATACAAAAGAGCTGTATAGAGTCAATCAGCAAAATGGCATCTAAGTAACAGTTTAAATTTTTAATAGGCAGTGTGAAGTCTGAAGATAGATCTGGGGAGGATTTCTCAACACATTGCAATAAGTAATGTCATGTTTGGAAGAAGGAAGACGAGGAGGGGCATTGCATAAACTTGGAAGCTTTACAAACTTTTCTTTTTTGCAGGAGATACTGCTTTGTATTTAATGTTGGTCTTTAGGAGTCCGGCAGTAAACTCATCTCTTTTAAAAGTTAAAAAATCTGAATTTAGGGAACTGTGTAGGGGGGTTCACATTACTTAGCTGATCAACTGGATGAAGTTAGGGAGCTGTTTTCCTTGAGCACCCTATAAACTTACTAGACAGTTTCTCTGGCAGTTGAGTCAGACCTGGAGGCTGTTTTAGGGACTGAGGAAGAACATCCCTAAGGGCATCAACTGTGTGAGTTAGCCTCTCGAAGCTAAATGTATATGTTATCAATATACATAAGTATATAAATATTATAAATGTACAAATATATATATATATATGAGGCAGATATCTAAAGTTTTGCATCATTATTGCCTCTACTTGTAACCCTCTATTAAGAAGAAGTTACGTATGTGAAATGCAGGAGAATCAGAGAGAAGAAACTGCTGTAGGAAGGCCACCAAAACATAAAATACGGTGCACAGGAGCAGAGCAAGGTGCATGTGTTAGCTGGCTCCCACGTAAGCCTTTTGACAAGTACGGTACAGAATAAAAAATACCCATCCGTGTGCTTGGAATGTGAAGGCAGAGAAAAATACTGTACTTTGGCAGACTTTACTGGCAGAACTGTATCTTTTGTAATGCGTATGAAGTTAAGCAAGGTTATTCCAAGGAAAATGCATAATAAGGAAAGAAACCAAAGAGATTCAAAACAAAGTGCCATTTCAAGTACAAGAGGAAAAAAACAAGCCTGGTACAATTTGTTCTTAAAACTGTGAAGTTTTGAAAGTACAGTTTTGGACTGCATAATTGATAGACCACATGAAGGACAGATACTTGTGGCACCAAAAAATTTAACTGAAGTTCATCCATTGAAGGCCTCCCTACCCCTTGTGATTGCACTTCACAAAAAGCCATTGCACATTGAGTTTGCTATTCAAAAATATTGTGAAAGCCACCACAGATTTTTAACAGCAACTAAAAAGACAGGATACAAGAAGATACCTTTTAATAAAACCATTTTGACACAAATAACATTAAAAAAATAATTTGGTATTAGATCTGCTCTTCAGGTATTTAAGTATTTAAATTTCCTGTTAGCAATCATTTTCAACTGTGAAATTTTCCATTAAGCATTAATATAACTTTAGCATTTGACATGTCTGAGAACAGAAACCTCAACAGATACATTTTGATCTGCACTATATATGCCGAGAATGACATTAAGCTAAATTCAGTTTTCATTTGGTAAGCTATAACATTTAGACATTTCCTTTTCAGCATGTGCTAGAATAAATTTGAAGTGTAGATCAGGAAAAAAAAATCCCATTTTCCAGACAACTAAATAGATCTGATTTAGACTCCTTTAGGCAGTTGTGTTAAAGTTCCCAAAGATCTTCTGGCTCTCCCTGCAGTAGCGGGTGCTGCGGGCAGGGCAATAGGTAGCAGTCTGTGTTGAGTTGGAAAGTGGAAGGGAGGGAAAGAAATTGAATCTGTTTTCAAACAAATTTGTTACTCCTTTTAAATGGAAGCACTGTATTTATAATCTCCCTCTTGCCCACCGTGGCTCGCTCTAGATCTCACTGTCGTCAATGACAGTCTTTCTTACTGCGTTGGGCGTAGGGTACTGACCCATCCATTGCACAGACGCATGTTTGAAAGATCTTCATTTTTCTGTGCTTAGAGAAGCACAAAACTTGCTTTCAACTATATATATATATTAACAATCAGAATTTAACACTAGGTAGAATTAGGTGCTATTCTCTCCACAGAGACAGGGAGATGCAATGACTGGGATAAATACACCTCTCCTTTTGAAGTACATGAATTCATGTAGTACTACAGGATTCTCTTTCCTGTAGTAAGATGGTCACATAAAACCTCCAGATGCCCAAGTGTTGAGCCAAGCACAGTGACATTCAGATATATTCTTTATTTCAAGATGTTTGTAGGTAACTCATTAAATGAATGTGTCCAACTGAATAGACTACTTTCCACCTGGCCTTTATACATTGTGAGTTACATCTAAACTGTCAGAAAAGAACATAATATTTTGGATATTAAAATATTTAGCTCTTATTGTGACATTTAATAATAAAATGTTTAAAAATATTCTATTACTGCTGAATAGCAAAAGATAAAAGCTGAACACTCCAGCTGCAGTGAGAGAAGGAGGGTAATATTCACCCAGAAGGCATTTCCCTCAGTAATAGAAATATACTGTTTATGTCACATACTTTTCCAAGCTTCCGTCTTTCATCTTCAGGAATAAACATTTTTTTCCATAAACATTTACTAAATTGTACAAAGGTATTGCAGGGTTTTTATACAGAACGTTTTTGGATGGTATAAAATAGCCGTAAAGAGAAAAGCATTGCCGCAAATGGTCAATCTTCCTGTCAAATATATGTATGTTTATGTTTATAATTTAAAATCTGGAGATGAGAAATTGAGAAGTCCATTATTGTTTTCTTTGAAAGTGCTTTTTGGAAAATACCCTGAAACTACTATTTTTTTTTCCGTTAAAATACTTTCGTTGTGTGCATTTTTTTATTTTAAGATGAGATCATTCACTTTTTATAGGTTTCTCCATGATAACTTTGGGGGTGCTCAGAAATACATGCCGTGTTGTTTCCTTTGCTTTTGATATCATAATCAGCAAGTGGCTGCAGGACAGACGTGCTGCTTAATGTCTCAACAGCGAATAAACTGGCTATGCAGTCTAGTGTGTGACGTCCTGGATAGACCCAGTCCTGTTTTCACTCCAGCAAGTCACTGAAACGTTCAGTCTCCCAACACAAGAGAAAGGAAAGGTAGGAAGGACTGAAATCCACCCTTGCCCTGATGGCTTTACCCAGTCAAAGGAAACTGAAAAAAAAGTGCAGCACGTAGAGATGTCTGTGCACTATTAAAGATGAGATGTATGACCCTCATACATATGTATCTCTCGTATTTGCTCTAGGAATGTATTTGGTCCTCGGATTTGAACAATTGTTCCACTATGTGGAAGAGTCATCCTGAATAAATATCTTATACTACTTAGGCCACACAGCAGTGATGTTATGTAGCATCAGATTGGCAAGTCAATAAAGATCAGTGGAAGTTTAGTGCCGTATTTAATTTAGTGTCTGTTCTTGCCAGTGCCTCTAATTACCTGCTTGTGTTTGGAGGTGTCTAGGTACAGAGGTAGGCTTGCTGCCAAGCATCAATGTGGTTCTCCTTAGATGACAGCAAAGTATGCATTAAGAGAGGAAATGGGAGCAGGTGACGATTCCTACAATCAAATTGAAGTTGGGCAGACCTGGCAGGTCTGGCCAACCATTTTGTTTTTCAGCAACATGTATTGGGAGTTGTATATTCCATGTCCCTTCCATGTGGATTTTGACAGACTGCTGTGGATAAATCAAGGAACTAAGCTGCAGACATTAAAGAACACATGCAAAGTAATCACCTAATTAAATGAGGCACAAGTTTTGTTTTACACTGAGGCTTATGCCACTCAAAGACAGAAAAATAGCTTATGTGTTGCTCCATTATGCTGCACTGTGTATATCCCATGCTGGTCTTCTAGGCAGGCCTGTATTTCATTTATTAGTGCAGTTAAAATTACTTGTGCTTACTTAAATAGTACAGCAGTCCAGAGCCCAGTTATGAAATAAATACCATCATATCAAATAGAAAATGAACTAGATTAATTTGACTGGATAAATTGGGAATAAAACTGCAGACAACAGTTCTACCGAGGCTGTATTAATGGACTTTTTTTTTCTTTTTTTGGTGAAATGTCAGCTGAGTGCTCATCTGCAGTCAAAAAAAGCAAATAGAATTTAAGGATCTGTTAGGAAAGGAACAGAGCACGAAATGCCAGACATTATTACGACCTATATCCATGGTGAGCTGCATCTCAAATACCATGTTCAGTTCTGACTCCTGCAGCTTGGAAGAGATATAGTAAAATTGGAAAAGATATAGGGAAAAAAAAAAGTGAGAGGGACAACCAGAGTTACGTAAGAACAAGAAAATTTTGGAAGCTGAAGAAGAATAGAGAAAAAGAACAGAGACAGCCAAATCACTTGCAGGGTATAGGATATGAAAATACAAAATCACGAGTGGCCTGGAAAAGTTGAATAGGGTACAATTGCTTTGCTCTCTCAGTACAAAAGGGGAAGATGTAAAGCTAGCAGGCAGATAGTTTAAAGGAAGGAGGTAATCCTCTAAATAGCACATAGTTCAGTTGTGCAGCTCATTGGTGTTACTGGGGGCAAAAGAAATTTATATGGGTTCAAAAATCATTTGGCAGAAGTTGCAGAAGAAATATATAGAGAGAGATTACCTACAAAGACTTCTGCTCTGAAGCCCATGATCCATATGTTGCTGCGAGACCCTTCTGAACAGTGTCCTCTTATTTTTCTCATACCTGGTTGATCATCTGCTCTTGGTAGCTGTTGGCGATGGGGGGATGAGCTTTTCATCTGCTGTGGTCTAATAGGCTGTGTAAAAATGCCATGAGTCTAATGCAGCCACCTGATTTTTTCATTTGTCTCATCCAGCTGTGCATCCTGAGATCACAACCCATTCCCAACTACTCTGTCTTTCCAGCTGATTTGAAAATTACTTGGTTTGTATGTCAAGGCAATGCTGTGTTTTCATTGCTTGAGCAGAAAGCATGACTACCACCATTCTGGAGAAGATTTCCCTCTGCTCAGAAAATAGCAAAATATGCCAGAATTCTACAGCCATCACATTTTAAAGAAAATACCGGTTTCTAGAATAACAAGACTTTATTCTTCATAGGAATTCCAAGGAATTATTATGACTACTAAAAAAAAAAAAAACAGATAATACATTTTAGCTATCATCTAATCCAAGAGAATTTTACACAATTGCCTATATTTTATAGAAATGAGTCATTGACTTTTTAATTGTATAGTTTTAGTAACCTTAACTCCCTTTTTACCAAACTTGGAATTAGGTAAATCAAATCCATGACTAGGAATTTGTTTTAAATTCTCGTTTTTCTTCAGTCTTCAGGTTTAGGGCTCTTAGTTAGATTTAGGGCACAATAAAAACACCCAGAGCAGAAGCTTTTGTTAGCGTCAACTGTTACAGAAGGGAAAGGACATGTTCCACCTCAGGGAACCCTAAGGAACCCAAGAAGTGTAACAGCTGCTCTCAGACAGTAACATATGCGCAGACCCTGGTTGAAAAAAAAAAAGCACCCGGGGAAAAGACAGTATTTTTTCCTTTTTTTTCCTCATATAGTGGATACAGTGTCTTTGGAAACACAAGCATCCCTGTAGTAGAGAGAAGAATGGAAGCAAGATCAGGAACAATTACTCTAAGGTTGTTGGCCCCCCAACAACATCCTAGCAAATATTTCATAGCATTAGAGCTTCTAATGCTATGTAAGGATGTGTTTGTAACACATTCCACTTTTAATGTATTAGACAGAGTATAAGAAACATTATGAAAACAGCCCTGTTATAAGCTATTATAGTGTTCTTTTTTTTTAAAAAAAATGATTGGCATAGTGAACTGAAAAATATAAAGCTCAAGGAAAGCTCGCTGAAGGAGTGTGACACTTTTGCAGTGCACTTTGGAAAGTGAAAGGCGCTGTCCTGTAAAACTGCTAAAAGTGTATCATCATGATGTATTGGTTTTATGGTATATATCCTTGAAAGGAACACTTAGAGGGGAGAGGATGGGTCCACTTAGCAACCTCCCTCGTCACTAGGGAACACAGCTAAGTTTATTCCATAAAGGCAAGCAAGCAGGAGAAAAAAGCAAGAGAATCCACTAGACTACTGGAGGCCCTACTTCCCCCATTTACTTTTTTTTTATTGTGGGTAGGTGATAATGCCTCTCTCCAAAATACTCCCCTGAACTGATGTGTTTTGAGGCCTTGCACACAGACTACTCTTAACATTAGGTCTCTAATAAATGATAATATTGACTTCACGGCAGGGAGGCTTTTATAAACTGCAGACTGGACCGGCTATAGGAAAGGGCAGGGAGGTGATGAGTTGGGCCTTGAGGAAGCTACTTCATCTCAGTTCATCTGCAGCATAATTAGCTGATGCCAGAAAGTGTAGGAGAGTTAAGAGTCTGTGATGTTTGTTAAGCCAAAGCAAGACGGGTAGAAGCAAGGTCCTAGTTCTTACATACTGCGACATTGTTGGTAAATAAGGCAGTGGTCTAAACGGAGATTTCTAAGAGCTGCTGAAAGTATTTCAGTTTAGATGGCTAAGTGTATGCCAGATACAATGAAATCTATCTGTATTCTTCCAAAAGGAGGCAGTAGATTGAACCAGATGCTCCCCAGAGGTCTGTTCCAACTTGGACTCTGTTTTTAATAAAAGGAAGGCAGAGTAGAGGGAAGATACTTCTAATTTCATCCAAAGAGGGCGAGTAAGGGGCTGTCCAAAGTGATATGGATATTACAGAAATAAAATTTGATCTGATTTAGTTTAGGGGAGAAATTCATTTTCAGGAAGCTTTTTTTTTTCCCCAGCCTGATTTGGAACCTGCACAATTAATGAAAAAATCTACGTTTTTGGCTCAAGATAAATATCATTCAGACACTCTTATTAAACAAAGGTCACATTCCCCCAAGCTGTACAAGTAGTAAACCTTGCTGTTGCTGGGCAGTTTCTTCTAGATCAATGAATTTCAGTGTCAACTACAGTGGTGACAGCTCCCAACAAAGTATCTGAGCCTGCCAGCACGTTTGCTCACTCGCCATGGATGTTGCATCAAAGCCTAAAGATTTCACAAGGTTTGGTCTCATCTGACCACTTCTTAGTGATCTTCTGATCTCTCTTCTTAGATAATATTGCTGTTTCAAGGGAAATCTGTGCAATTGTGCCTGTATTGTCTGGTGCTAATAACAGAGGTTATGGCAGTCCTTATAGCAAGGAATTATCCTCATCTTCCTACGTCCTGTCAGGATGAATCAGCTGTCTGACATGGGAAGAGACGTGAACAGCCAGATGTGCAAAGGATGTTCCTCTCATAGTCCAATGGTGGAGACGTTTTGGGCTGTGTTTCAGGACATGGACAGGCAGGTGCACAGAGGGACTTGTGATGAAGTAGAACCACGGAGCAGACAGGTTTATCCAGGTGATGCTGCACATGGTCACAGAATCACAGAATGTTTGAGGTTGGAAGGGTCCTCTAGAGATCATCTGCTCCAATCCCCCTGCACACGCAGGGTCACCTAGAGCACGGGGCACAGGGTGGCATCCAGGTGGGTTTTGAAGATCTCCAGAGAAGGAGACTCCACAGCCTCTCTGTGCAGCCTGTGCGAGGGCTCTGTCACCCTCACAGAAAAGAAGCTCTTCCTCATGCGTGGAGGTGGAACTTCCTGTGTTTCAACTTACACCCGTTAATTGCCGTCCTGTCACCGGCCACCACAGAGAAGAGCCTGCCCCATCCTCCCTACAATCACTCCTCAGGCACTCGAACATGTTGATCAAATCTCCTCTCAGCCTTCTTTTCTCCAGACTAAACAGGCTCAGCTCTCTTAGTCTTTCCTCATACAACAAAAATGATGTTTGTGTCTTAGGTAGCCAAACCCTGAGACAGTGAATGATGTTGGCAAAAAAATATTTCATCTTGTGGACCTTCCAGAGACATTTTCAGTAATACCAGTAATGGAGGAAAATGTCTTGTGAGACAGTAGAAGGCAGAGCTACATTGTAAGTACTAGATTTGTCATCCTAAATATGTTTTTTTACACAGAGCACCCATATGCCCACATTTGTAAATACAGATGTGTACATAGGCCTGGTGTTTGCAAGGTGGCCATACTGCAGCCAAACTTGCTTTGGATTTGCCAAGACTTGGGGAAGCTTTTTACTTCCCCAGCTCCAGGTGTAAGGTAGGGGTCAAAGACAGGGACCTTCACATGCCCATCTGCCTTAAGCTCTTTAAAAGGCACATTTTGGAAGTGTGCAAATTGTAGCACCCTACATTACAGTAACCTTTTCTTAAGCCTTTTGTGCTGTATCCCCAGATCTGCTCTGAGCATCAAGGGCTGCTGTAGTACAAGAGGCTTTAAAACTCTCACCAAAGATTGGCTGGTATCAGGGAGATCCTGCTGTGCACAGTGCATCACACAGCCCCAACAGCTCAAACTGTGCTCTGTGGGGGTGGAACACGAGGAACCATATGCAAAACAGAATTAAATAGATGATGCAAACACTTTTGTGCTGTGTTATTAACAGTGAAAGACCAATTAAGATATAAAATTATCATGGGAATTTCAACAAAAAGGTATAATTAATGACAACTAAGTCAGGGAATTCATTGTTTAAAAAATGCGGATTATACCCTTCTGGTGCTATGCATTTCAGATGACAGGTTTGTTTTTGTGTTTAGAGTATTAGATATTTAAAGTATTTTTTGTGATAGAAGAACAGTTAGATTTTCCTAGAATACGCATAGACAAATGGAGTCAATTTTATTCTTTCCTTCAGAAGTTTTATGTGGTTTCAAATATAATGACTTCAGTAGAGTGAATCTGGCCTTAAGGAAGGGAAAGTAAGATCACAATCTGTCTCTGCTTTTAATAGATTAGATATTATCAAATAAGTGTGCCACTTTGTAAGCAGAAATAACTTTCCTTGAGTTATAGAAGTTAGTCTGCTCTTTTAAAATATAACTAACTTTAAAAACAAGTACAATTTGCACCTGGCAAACTGTCTCCAGCATTTGATTACAAATCATTATATTGGGTAATGATTAAATTTGAAATTATAAAAGGATTTTAGAAGGGATTCTTCTTACCTTCACATGCAGTTCCATTACCGCTGTAGCCAGGAGGACAGGGCCCGCATTTAAAAGCTCCGTCTTTGGCTGGCTCACACTTCACGCCGGCGAAGCACGGGGTATTTGCACAAAAGGCATCCTGGTGTTGAGTCCCACGGGTGGGTTTTGGTAGTTCCAGCTGGTCGCTTGCTATATCTTGTCCTTTTCTGATTGCTGTGGTCTGTGCTAGAAGCCTTGCTCGGAAAAGAGGCCCGAATGGTGGGTTCACACGTGGAGGAGCTGAATCAAAAGAAGAAGCTGTTAAATGAGGTGAGGAAGGAAGGGGTGATGCCAAAGGGGATGTTCTCTGCTGCTCTGTTCCAAAATCTCGGGATGGCTCCGTCTTTGAGACCGTGACCCTGCTGAGCCACTTCCTAAGGGAATAGCCGTGTTTGGGGTGAATCCGCTGAACAGCGTGGGGGCTCGTAGAGAACGAACTTGAGTTTGTCTTGAGATGAGAAGAGACCGTCCGTATTGTAACTGCTTTACTTTGTTTAAAATGAAGAGGCGTTTGGGTAGTCATACTGACAGCTGCTACTTTGGCCTCTGGTTCCTTGTGTGGAAGGAAAGTATGTGTGTCACCACTCATTTTTATTTTTTCAAGAAAAATCTGTTTCTCAGGCAATATGGACTCCTTGTCACTTCTTTTTGTTGATAATGTCTGAGCCTGGGAAAACTTCCTTTTTATTGTAAGGGATGGAGTGCTAATGAGTGTGGGGTTTCTTCCCAGAAAATATGTAGCTTCTTGTCTTGGAATTTGGGTATGGGCAAGAAGGGAGTAAATATTTCTTGGTATCTGTAAAGCATCTTCCTGGTGAGAGCCTGCAGCATCATCACTGTTTCTTTCAGCAATATCCATGTGGCTTTGGGAAGATCCTGGAACTAGAGCAGAAGGGACATAAATATATTAGTCAAATATGCGGGTCTAGAGTTTTAAAGGAACCTCAGTGAATCCATAGCTTATAAACAAACAACAGACTCTCAATTCTAGATGTAAAAGAGTTTATTTATCATATATGATACAGTCACATCTATTCTAACAGGTATAGAAAGAACACAGTTTTTAGGCTGTGGGTATCAATAGAATTGGTGCACAGGGAACTAGAATACAGCAGCTTAGAGGATGACTCTTCATGATCTAGATGAAATCTATTTATGTTAGCTTAATATTGAGCCTAAGCCGGTAAGTCTCAGTGAATGTCAGGCTTTTCTCTTTGAGCAGCAGCACTGAGTTTGCAGGGATGAACTGCAGGCAGGCCAAAACACTTGGCATGCAGGCTTGCTACTTTTGGCCTGTTCTTGCCCATGAATTTTGGCACTGTGCACCATTTTGTGGTGCACCCTACAGTTCTTGGCCACCTGGGCTAATAATTATTCCTCATTAGCTGCATAGATTGCAGCAGCACACTGGGAAGCGTTCTGCTGGATGGCGCCCAGTGCAATCCGGGGATAAGACAAGATGTTGCGGTTTGGGACAGAGAGATATCAGCGATGGAGAAGTAAAGAAATGATAAGACAGCCCTTCACAAGAGCACGTCCTAGGCAGGCTGTAGTCCCATCAAGCTAGTGTATAACTAAGTTTTGTAGTCCTTAGGGCATGGGAGAGTTTGAAAGGAGAGCAGTGGAGGAGCGTTGTCGATGCTGCGCGCAGCTCCCTCCAGACGCGAGGGGCAGCGTGTCGGAGAGGCGGCTGGTTGGATCCGTCAGCCGCTCGTGGCACGGCCGGCCGCCTCCTCAGCTGTGCTGGGAGAGATGATAGATGGAGAGAGGGTAGTCTGTGAAGGGCCCTGAAAGTGGAGACGACTAGTTTGAATCAATACTTTCAGGAAGATTAATGGCCATCTGCTGGCTTTAATGAATGGAAGAAGCTATTTTTAACCAGTCCTGGCACACTCACTCCATAGGAAATGGAATATATTGGATCCTGTACACAAAAACCTCACTTGGTTTTAGGATTGACTCAATGCGAGGTGTACATTTACCTTTTAAATGTAAATATTAATCACTTTCGGAAAAACTCCTTTGGTTATAGAAATTAGCCCCAGTTAGCAAGGAACAAGATGAAGAGACTTGGCAGAGGTCAAAAAGAAAGTTAGAGCGTTCACCAGATCAAAGGAAATCCTGGTGTCCACAGCTATGTTTATCTGGCCTGTAAGCATCACTCTTCTGCAGGCTGGTGGATTTTTATTGCCCTGAAGCATCATGTTCTAGAGTTATATGGTGGTACCAGATCAAACTATGGACATCAGCACATCAGATTTTAACCTCCATGAATGATGAGGAGCATAGAGTGGAAGAAGGGAGATAGGAAAAGCAGGAAGGACATCAAGAATAAGAGCACGAGAAGATGCGATATGTCAAAGGGTTTTTAAAAATGAATGAGAGAAAGAAAAATGAAAGAAATATCCCCACAGAAAGTTGCAAGTAACAGATGATTATTGCTGCTTTTAGAAAAATCAGCTCAGGGACAAGAATGAGCAGCAGTGACAGTGGAGAGCTGAGTCACCTCCTGACACATTTTCAAAATGAGCCCTAATTATAGCTTCGAACTGATTCCATCGTATCCTATTCAAATGATTTTTTTTTCTTTTCTAACTAAATTTTACTATCAAAGGGATCATACTGACAAAAACAAGAAAGGAAAATCTTCTGTTTCCTGATCAGGTGAGAGAGATGCAGTGTACTCATTCTTCAGATAAGCTGCAGCCTTCCCTATAAGGGTGGAAAGCACTGTTTTTGGAGTATACCTATGATGATGCAGTTTTTGACACCTCTAACAGAGCTATCAGTGAACAGCAATGATGTGTTTTGGTTGTTTGCTCCTTATGATACGTACTGATTAAGATTCCTCATCCTGCACTTTGCACTGGCCACCAAAGCCTGTAAGATGCTGTCATGGGAACACTGGCATCATTCAAGTCTGTCTGTTTTGGTGTCCTCACAGCCATCATTTCTTCAGATATTTTCTAATAGTACTACAGTGCAATCTAGTTAGGATTAGAATAGGACAGAAATTTTCTAGAATAGCTGAAAATTTCTTTCTGCAGTTTTCCTGGTTTCTAAATAAGCTAAAACAAAGAAGTATACTAAAAGATTGCAGATCCAGCTATCTGTAGTCAGCAGCTTTCTCAAATCCTGTATTACTTCAATTTATTTTCCTTGCAGTCGATCAATATCTTCAGATGTATAACCCATTATCAATGCAGAAGTGTGATTGTGTGAATCTGGTTTGCTCTGTGTGATTACATACTGGACAGGATGAAAATAACAAAAAAATGACAAGGCGAAGTGCTCAAGGTTATATGACAGTACAAAAATACATTTTTACTACCTGTCAGTATTTCTTTCTATATTAACTGGGAAATGTGGAGCAGTGGAACAACTGAGTTTATTTTTCACAGAAGTAGATAAGTGACTGAGAAGCTGATGCTTTGCTCCAGCTGTGCACGGCAGGAGCACTGTCCGTATGGATGGAGCCGCAGTGCTGGAAGCACCGCGGAGCGCAGGGAGGGATCAGGCCTGGAGAGGATGGATTCTGCTCTTGCCTCTCTATCTGGGCATGATTAGAACAAGGGTGACAGAGGCCAGGTTTCAGAGACAGGGTGCTTAACACCCCTCATCTAACTCACCACGAGTGCGCTGCACGGGGCAGGAATCCCCCTTCATTAGAAGGCCTTAGCCTTCTGCTCGCCTGACACCATGTGCCACCAGTGCTGAACTCGTGAATCAAGGTCATCGTGGCCAATACCTGCTCATGCTTCCAAAGCCATCACAGTGCTGGGGAGGCACAGCAGATTCTGATTCCTTCCCTCACCCGAACTGCATTTTCTAGTGAGCTTACTTGCTATCCCTAGTTGAAGAGTTTCATGGTAATTCTGAAAGTTATAAAATGACCATATAAGCTAATGCAAACAGCAGGTCACAAAAAGAGCAGAGACACTTGTGAGGCTCTTAAATGCTGGGTGAGATAACAACACTGAAACACAGGGAAAAAAATCAAGTATATTTTCTCTCTTTTTTGTAACTTTTTCATGTACTCACATGAGGAAGGCACTAGAAGAATATGACCATATGTGTACTGTAGTCAAGGTGTTGCCTTGTCCTTCAGTCAAACACCCCAAACCAATCTACTCTGCAGCTGGAGAATGGTTTGTTCTCTTTACTGAGATCTCCTGGCCATGGTCACTTTTGCCTGTCAGTTCAGGATATTAGGGCACCTTTAATTCTGCTCAGGTTACACCCATTTCAGAATGCTGTGAGTAGTTTGAGAATTCATCTCATTATTAACACAATTCAATAAATTTACAATTTGTGTAGCTTTAGAGCTATTAACATTTAGTAGTACATGCTGTGTAGCACATTTCTCATTCAGAAGAATGTCGACAGAGGAATGCTCTTCTGACATATTACACTATGTAGGTCATCATTTAAAATTTGAAACATCTACCAGCACATATATCTTATTTAAAATGTCAAGAGAGAACAGAAAAATTATACTGGTCTAAGAAGTCTTGTTACTAAAGTATTAGGGATCATTCCATTTAGCTCTCTACTGTTCCACATATATATATATATATATATATATATATATTTACTTGGTGAGAGAGGGGAAACTGAGTAGCTGTCATTAGCAGGTCCTAGGGAACTTCTGTTTTTCCATCAACTCTTAATCTGCCTTAATCTGCCTAGCTATCCAAGTATACCCTACATCTTCCTTTTACCAGCTATTCAGGAATATTGGCTTTGATTCTCCCTTCTTGCTCTTAAGCATCCTGAATTTCCTCACATTCAAACAGCGCCTAAATGGATTGAACATCCCAGTGATCGAAGTCCTTCCCCTTATGATCAAGCAGTAACTCTCTGAATATCCAACTGGAAAAAATCACTCAACTCGTTTAACTGAGGTAGATTTTGACCTCCTGGGCTTTACAAAGGATCTATTTCCAGGCTTGCTTTTGCAGAAACGAAAGTGTTTTTAAGGAGTAATTAGGATTGGCATATTATTATTAATCCAAATAATACCTTCAGAGATCAGGATTATTTGGCTGTTTTTGATGTCAAAAACTGAAAAATCAAATGTATTGTAATAGTTTAGGAACACAGAACACAATCTAAGTAAACACATCCAAAAGTTAATCTCCACTTTGAAAAGTGGGGAAAGAGAGAATACCAGGAATATCTTTCATCTAAGAGATGCCCAGGTCTGTCTGGAATTCAGAAATCAAAAAGGTCGAGGAGCCACATGGAAACCACTGGCTTTGTTCAGACAGGTAGAATAAACAAAATAGCCTATTTAGTTCATGCTGTCCTAGCACAGCTAGACTGCTTGTAGCCTTAATATGCCTTAACTCCAGATTCAGCAGCGCATGAGCAAAGCAATTGCATGAGTGTTTCCATCTGCAGAGGCGTATTCAATCTCAGTAAAATCTCTGTGCTCAGACCCTCACTTCTGTGATCATTAAGTTTACTCACTTGTTGCTTTAATGATGGAATTAAAAGGTGAACATCTAGTTCACCCTCCCT